TCTTGACTCCCAGGGCAGTGCATTCCCCTACTGTCTGGCAGGTATCAATGACAGAATTTCCCCTTAGGAAGCAATGCCTGAGATATAGTAAGGTCCCTAAAGAAGGGAGGGTAAAGACCCAGTAGGATTCCCACGTATCCTTCTGTTGTGGTCAAGTGGAAGAGTATCTTCTATTTTAGTACTACAGGCATTGGGAGCTCATGACAGAGTTGATTAAGTTGAGTCGCCAGAAAGGCAGGGTTGTTGAGATGGCTCAGCAGGTACTTGTCATTGAGACTGACCTGGGTTTCAACCTTGGAGGGAGAGAGCATCTTCCTCAACAACAACAAAACCCCAACAATAATAGTGTAAGAGCAGTCTTTTTAAAAAGGGGGAGGTGGAGATGTGCGGTCCTAGGAGGAGATGAGGTCTATGGGGTTTGTACATCAGTGTAAATGAGTGAGGGAGATTTTCCAGTTCTGCAGACTTCTTTTTCTTTTTGTTGTGAACAGTCACCTGAATACATAGGTGACATGCAGTTTAGCTTTGAAAAAGGAGGATTAGAGGTAAAATATCGGGGGGGGGGGAAGTGCCTGGGAAGAGTGGTCTGAGTTGACTTTGGGCAGCTGGTCACGGTTAACGAGATGCAATGTCATTGAGATGATGGGGGTGCGGTGGGTGTGGATTGTTGACAAGCCAGGTGTCTTCAGAGGGTACTCAGCAGAGTCAGGCACTCTTTAGTAATATTAGTTAGTCTGTTTAAAGCAAGATTTATTTTTGGTCTATGAGTATGGGTGTTTTGACTTCATGTGTGTCTGTGCATCATGTGCGTGATTACCAGTGAGGCCAGAAGAGGCTGTGGTATTCTCTAGGACTGAGTTACAGACAGTTGTTATCTACCATAGGGCTGCTGGAAATTGGATCATCATCTGCAAGGGTGGGCAGTGTTCTTAACTGATGAGTCATCGTGTCTAGTCCTGTATTAGTCTCCTAGAAAAATAACGTATACAGCTAGGCATGGTGATGATCCCAGTACTTCGAAGAAGAAAACAGGAGGGGTTAGGGGTCCAAGGCCAATCTCTGCTACACACATAATGAAGTTGAGGCCCACTGGGAGAACATGACTTCGTATCTTTAAAGCAACATGAAACAGCCTAGATGCCCCTCAACCAAAGAATGGATAGAGAAAATGTGGTACATTTACACAATGGAGTACTACTCAGCAGAAAAAAAAACAATGGAATCTTGAAATTTGCAGGAAAATGGATGGAACTCGAAGAAACCATTCTGAACGAGGTAACCCAATCACAAAAAGACAAACCTGATAATGTACTCACTCATATGTGGACCTGCTTGATGATACATAATAGTGACCATGCTTTATCAGAGCTGTTTTTAATGATGTTGCTCAGAATGGTTTCCTCCCAGATGATGATTGAGAAACTAATTAAAAAAAAATGGTGCCAAGTACTACAAGAGTAACAGAACTGTGCTGTTTTCTGGGATTTTGATTTTTACTTTTTTGTTGTTGTTTGTTTTTTTGTTTTGTTTTTTTTTTGTTTTTTGTTTTTTGTTTAAATGGAGTGTGTTGGATGTCTCTACAGTTTTGTTCAAATGACTGCAGAACCTGGAAAAGCTGCTGCTATTGATGCATAACATACTGCCATTATTCATCTTTTTATATAAATATATATATACATATATATATATATACATATACATACATATATATGCTAATTGAAACTCAAATATGTGATGAATCCAAGGTAATTGTGGCTATTAGGCTTCAATGTGGGTCTTTTAACAATGGGGAAACGATTGGTTTAAGGATATAAAACTGCCATTGGACAAGAGGCATGGACTCTGTGAAGTCTTGAGGTCTACTGAGAGCATGATAAATATGGTTGATAACAATATGCTATATTTTAAAAGTTGTGAGATAGTATACTTTAAGTGTTCTCAAAACAAAAATGATGAATATGTGTAATATAACATGTTAATTGGTTTAATTTAGCCATGCCATTGTGAACATACTGTATTATGTATCATAATTGTGCATTACTTTATGAGCTAAATAAATGAATGAAAAAAAAGTGGCTTTTCTGATCATCATAGTCACAACTGTTTGCAGAAAAGTGTAAGCGAAACAACATTTAAAACCACTGTCTAGAAATAACATTATTTCCCCTCCATATTTTAAAGTTAGTTTGTCAGTGTGTATCCAGGATTGTCCCTCAGAAGAATACTTGCTACTGATAGCAATTCAACATATACCAAGTGTCTACTGTATACCAGCACTATGAACATTAGTGAATAAGCTATTTTTTAAGTTTTTTTTTATTTTTGCTTAGTAACATTTCTGCACATTATTTTTGAAATTATTTTGAATGCCTCGTTCATTCTCCCTTTTTAAAAAAAATCTTTGTTTTTGTTTTTTGAAGTTTTATACTATATCAGAGCAGTTCAGGGACAGAGTAAAAACAGAGAAAGCTTCTATTTGCAGCAGATGGTGATTAACACAGAGACCCAAAATTTGCTAAGGCACCAAAAACACCAGAATGCAGAATGCTCAGCCCTAAGGGAAGAGATATACTGAGCCCTCCTCCCAGGGCTTGGGAATCATTGGGAAAGAGCAGTGGAGAGTAGAAGAGCCTAAGGCAGAGGATGACTACAAGGAAGCAATGTCCTCGGGACCCAGCAGGACAGCTGCACATACGAACTCGTAGTAGCTGTGATAGCATATACAAGATCTGTGCAAGCCCAAGGCACACCAAGTCCCAGCATGCAGAGGGGACTTGGGACTGAAATCTCACCCTTAGTCATAGAGATATTGGCAACAGTTAGGTTCTGGGAGAAGAGGAGACAGTTTTCTCTTGACAGTGGAGCCCCTGGTAGGTCAACCATACTCCAGTAGAAGGCACACATTGAAGAATATTTGGGCAGCACTAATTGTTCTTGATTAGTTTTTAAAAACAAAACAAAAAGGACACAAAGGTGGATGAATAGGGACGTGGGGGGGGGAATCTGGGAAGAGTTAGGAGGGAGAGAATATGAATCAAAGCACATTTTACAAAATTCTCAAAGAACTAATAAAAATAACCACCCTTGTGATTAATCCTTCATGTTCAGCTCCAAGCTCTAGGTTAAGCATAATATATGTCATATCTTCCAAGTAAACCATCATTTGTATTTTTCTTTCCTACTTCGGATTTTTACACTTGCCTTTTTTTTGGGGGGGGTGGATAACATAGACAGCATTTGCATGTAGAATTTTGTAGGCATTTGAGTTCTCAGGTCAGCACTGTGAACATTCTAGAGCGCTCTTTCACATGCTGACATGCTGGTTGTCATTCTCATGGAGTGTCATGGTAGCCTCCTGGGCTCTTCCTGTCAGCGAGGACAGTGGAGCTTCCAGGTGCCCAGAGTAGAGTTTGCAGTCTCACTCACTGAAGCATGGAGTGCTAGTATCCAGTTGGCACTCAGGGTATGTTGGATTCCTGGGTCCTCCTGAAAGACAAGGAGGGAAATAGCCATTGGTTTCTCAGCAAAGTGACCCTGGGGTATGTGACTTTATTAAACTGGAGGAATCAGCTTATTTGGGAAACTTGTTTTGAGCTTAATTTTGTTTGAAACTCACTTGTTTCAGAAATCACAAGATAAAACGGAACCCTTACCTCTCCCATCCCTATTTCCTTACTGTCCTCTTCACGTAATTATTTGATCCACTTCTCATGTAACTTTAAGTGCCTTTGAGACCACCAACTCTACTTGAGACGAGGTCTCTTGCAGCCTAAGTTGGTTTTTAATGCATTTCATAGAACTGGTGATCCTCCTGCGTGCACCCCCAATGTGCTAGAATTATAGGTATGTGCTGCCACACCCAGCTTACATGCTATGTTCTTAAATGCAGAATATAACAGTGTTCTGTAGCTTGCTTATTAATGTAGCCGGGTGGTCTCTCATAGCTGTTCACAGTGCATCTCTATTTTGCAGCTGTGTGGGATGCATAGGCAATTAAAAAAAATCCTTTTGGGTTGTTTTCTGTTTTACTTTTATAAATGACCCCACACTAATCTTGCTATCCAACTGTCACTTTGCATGTGCAGTTGTATGTGGAGGATGGTATTTCTGAGGTCACTGGTTAATTGCAGACCTCACTGTGAGTGTACTGACACTACCCGCAGCATTGCAGAGCACCTGTACCCTAAGGGCCCTTGTGTAGGAAGATCACTATCCTAAGTTCCCAGATGCTGTGTCCTCAAGCCAAAATGACCCTGTTTCCTCAAGAAATAAGTAACCATGACTGACATTTCCTTTAAGAGTGTAACATACTTGAGAAAGATGGTAGCAGCAGAAAAGAAATATTTTAAGTTAGAGCCCTTGAAGGTTAATCGGCATTGTCCTATATCTCCATACAGATAGTTGAAATGCTTTTTTTGTTTGTTTGTTTTTGAGATGGGCCCTTCTTTACTGTGTAGCTCTGGCTGATCTGCAGCTGTCTGTGGGGACTAGACTGACTTGGAACTCACAGTGAGCGCTTGCCTCTGCCTCCAGAGTGCTGGGATTAAAGGTGCATAATACCACCGCTGCCTGGCCTTGAGATGCTTTTTTTTTTTCTTCTTTTACTTTTTATGATGTTGGAGATAGAACCTTAGAGAATGTCTGTTGGGCAAGTGCTCTACCATAAAGCGACATTCCTGGCTCTGAGGGGTTTTTGTTTTGTTTTGTTCTAATAGCGCTGGCTGTCCTGGAATCTTCTCTGTAGACCAGACTGGCCTCATACTCACAGATCCTCCTGCCTCTGCCTTCCAAGTGCCGACATTAAAGGTGTGAGCCACCACCACCCAGCTAGTGCGCTGTCACTGCCCAGCTTATTAATGTATTTATTTATTTATGTTTTAAAAGCAAGTTTTTGATCAAGTTGTCAGTTGCAATACTTTTTATTAGTAGCACATCACGTGGCAGCTGCTAACTAAAGTGCTGGGAACTTTGTTTTAGCCCTGGATGTTAGGACTAACCCACTCTGCGTTTCTGTCTTCCAGCCTCCGACATCCCGCACTCTGCTTCACCCATGGAGAATCATTGCTGCTTTTTCCCAGCGTGCCCACTTCAGTGCCTGTAAAGTACATGCTCCAGGTTGACAAAGATTCTAGATGGATCCTTTCCAAATTTGGTGTCTTTTCTACAAACTCTGTGCCTCAACGTCCATTTCTAAGTGGTAAGGCTGTCTACTTTAAAAAAAAAAAAGAATTTAAGTTCATTTATTTTGCATTATGTGAATGGGTGGGTAAATTTGAGGATGTGGCGCTTGTGGAGTCGGCTCTATCCTTCTGTCACGTGGGTCCTATGGATGAAGCTCAGGCTGTCAGGCTGGTGCCCTTCTCTTTAAAGGATGATGGAATTGTGAGATGATTGCTCTTTGGACTGCCTTTCCTAGTCTCTTCCTAGGCTCTCTCTTATATATAAGTCAGAGCTATTTTGGTAATTTCTTCTGAACCACATCTAAAGTAGCCTTTCTGTGTTGCTTTACTGCTAAAATGTAATGCCTAACACTAGTGAATAATACTTATAAAATAGGTGCCCTGGTCACTTTTCATTGCTATGACAAAATATTTGAGCAAGTCAACCTAAAGAGAGGGAAGATTTCTTTGGGCTCATGGTTTCAGAGGTATTGGACTGTGAAGATGGCTCCATGTGGCATGAACCATGATGGCAGAAAGGCATGGCAATTGGGAATGACTAGGAAGTAGAGAAAGAGTGAACCTGTAATGGCCACTTCCTCTTTCTGCTGTTGTTCCTTTGGGGTCCCCAACTTACTGGACATTACTGTTCACATTCTGGGCAGGCCTTGCCCCCTGAATTGCTCTCCAAGTCAATTGACTCTGGCACCCCAAATCTTAAAAATGCTTTATTAATCTCCTAGGGGAAACTCAGTGTGATCAGAGGAACAGTCTGATTGGTGTGTACTTGATAGGCTTTTGGTTCTCCATGAGTCCTGGTGATTGGAAGTCATGCAGAAACACTCACAGACATCATTAGAGAGATGTGTGACGTCAGCTCTTTTTAGTGCATGGCCCTACGTGTGCTTTTTCATGTGTCAGGTTTACTTGAAACTCATCTTTGGGCAGAAAGAGCCGAGGAGGAAGATTAAGCAGAACACATTGCTGAAATGGGAGACCTTAACAATGAACTGGTTTAAGCCTCCTAAACGTGGGTGTCAGTTAGGTCTGAGCAGTCTATGGGGCCTCTGGCAGTGGAACCAGTATTTATCCCTAGTGATGGACTTTGGGAACCCATTCCTCATGGAGGGATACTCTTCAGCCTAGACACACAGGTGAGGGCCCAGGCCCTGCTCCAAATGATGTGACAGACTTTGATGATCCCCCATGGAAGGCCTCACTCTCCCCGGGGCATGGATGGGAGATGGGATGGGGGGCCCCCGTAGGGTGAATGGGAGGATGGGAGGGAGAGAGAACTGGGATTGATATGTAAAATAAGAATGTGTCTAAATTAAATAAAAAATATATAATATAAAAAGTGAGCTGGTTTGAAATAGGCACCCTCTGAGGCAGTTAACATGTTTACCAAAGACTTGCTACTTATGAATGAAAATACATAGTGACTATTAGCATATTAGAGAAGTCACCAGAGAGGAAGCCTAGCTTTAGATGGGGCCTTAGCAATAGAGTGAATAAAAGGGTTCGTGTGGTTCAACTCTAGTTCTTACCTTCAACTACATAGGGTTATTAAAGAGCACAAACTAGTCTTGAACATCAGTTTTCTTAAACATGCAATGAGTCAATGAAATGATTTGTGGGTTTATTTATTTATTTATTTAGATTTGTTTATTATGTATATGTGTTTAGTCTGCATCTACCCAGGCCAGAAGAGGGCACCAGATCTCCTTACAGATGGTTGTGAGCCACCATATGGTTGCTGGGAATCGAACTCAGGACCTTTGGAAGAACAACCAGTGTTCTTAACCACTGAGCCATCTCTCTAGCCCCGTGGGTTTATAAAAAGACTTTGTGTAGTACCTTGCTACTTCAGTGAACAAATTGAAAGAATTTGTTTTGTTTTTTACTTGAGTATGTTTTTCTCCCCTCTCCCATCTGGTGAGACAGTTTTGGTCTATGAGTGAGTTATGAGACAGGAATAAGATACCTGCTATTAGAATATTTTTCATTTGGCGCCTCTCTTTGCAAGTTGGTGTCTTTTATCCTTTTCTTCCTACAATCTTCTCTTCCACTGACCTCCAGAAGTCTCCTTATTTGCCCAGCTGTTGTTTCTCTCCTCCTTTCTACTGCATGTGCGGTACTTGTTTTTCAGGGTCAGTAGATCTTAACCAGTGAGTCCAGTCCTAGAACCCTTAGAAAAATACAGATGTGTTTAGAAGAAGGCTAGGAGCAGCTGAAAGCAATTAATCAACTAGCATTAGTACCCTAGGATTGAGCCTCAAGTTCCGTACTCTCCTTACTCCCTCCCTTCTGTCTTTGCTTGGGACTTGGGACTGTTCCCTTCCTATGGTATTGAAATCAATGTCTTCATTTTAGTTCAAGAATTGTCTTAGTTTTAGGGTTTCTACTGCTGTGAAGAGACACCATGACCACAGTAACTCTTATAAGAGAAAACATTTAATTTGGGCTGGCTTTCAGTTTTGGAGGTTTAGTCCATTGTCATCATGGCGGGAAAGCATTGTGGTGTGCAGGCAGGCGTGGTGGTGGAGAAGAAACAAGAGTTCTGCATCTGGATCCGCAGGCAGCAGGAAGGGACAGCCCAACTAGTCATAGCTTGAGCATCTGAGACCTCAAAGTCCACCTCCATGGTGACACACTACCTCCACCAATGCCACATGTACTTCAAGAAGGCCATACATCTCAGTAGTGTCAGTTCTTATGAGCCAAGCATTCAAACATATGAATCTATAGGTTGAATCACTCCTATTCAACCATACCAAGTATTCATACCTTCTCCAGTCTCCCATAAAGCATTGCACCCCAATGGCAATCAGGTCAGGGGTTGAGAGATTTTTTTTCCCCCCTCTATGGTTGGTTTGTATTTGAAGACTTTTGCCTTTTCTCTGCTTGTGACTTATACTGCTGCTAAGGTAAAGGGAAAACAGCCAGTCAATGTAAACAAATGGCCACAGCTTGTGTTCTAATGAAACTTTATTTGCAAAATTGGTTGTTGACCCCTTGTTTTAGGGGCTCTTGAACTATTAGATGGAGCGTGGAGTGATATTTCCAATCCTAGTGTCAGTGGTCTCTCCAAAGAACCTTTTTTTTTTTTTTTTTTTTTTGTACAGTAGAATGGTAAGATTACAATCCAGGCTCTAGGGGTTCTCATACAAATTGTTTTTTTTTTTTTTTTTCAGTTTAGTTTCAGCATCCTAATTTATTTATTTCTTCATTTTATACTAATTTCTTTCAGCTGCAAATCTGGTTCTTTATGGCACCAGAAATAATATGACTAGAACATTTAATAATTTCTTATATATAAGACTCTCAACAATAATAGAGCTTTTTTTTTTTTAACTAATTTATCTATGACTCTGGACATGGTGACTCATGTCATTACATTTGAGAAGCTGAGGCAGGAGGATTGCTGTGGGTTTGAGGCCAGTCAGGCCTATGTAGCAAGACTCAATCTCAACAAAGCAAACTAGCCAGATATGGTGGTGTACACCTTTAGTGTCAGTACTTAGGAAGTAGAGTCAGTTGAATATTTGTGCGTTGAAGGCCAGGCTGATCTATAGTGAGTTCCAGGACAGCCAGCCAGAGCTACATAGTGAGACTCTGTCTCAAAACAAACAAAACAAAACAGCAACAACAACAAAACAACCCAAACTAATCAACCAACCAAATAAAACCCCATTGAAACAAACAAACAATGTAGGTGTCTATGAAATCCCCCGTTGTGTGAAGTGTCTGAGATTCCCTGCTGTTGTGCAAAATGACAGTTCTTTTATCCATATTGACTGTTTCATTGTGTGAAATGCCACCATTTGTTTATCCATTCTCCAGCTGATGGAATCAGTTGCCCTAAATTCTTTTGAGTGCCTTTGATAGACGTTTTATGTTTTATATGTTTTCTCAGGTATTCATGTACCCCGGAGTGGAAGTGTAGGGCACATGTTCCTAAGAGTGCTTAGCAAAAGTACTGTGTGTATTAGTTATCTAGTGCTGTGTGATTCTCTCAAATCTCCCAGCTGACCACAGTGAGCATCTTTATGTTACGGTTGGTGGCACTCTGTTTCTTTGGAGTGCAGCTGAGCTTCTCATAAAATGCCATAATGACATTTTCTGGGGTCACATTCATTTCAACTGGTGGGGGTCACTCATGGAGCCTTCGGTGGTGTATCCCAGCTCACTCTTGGCAGAATTTAAATCCTTTCTGGTTGTTGGTCAGAATTTCACTTCTTTTTCTTTAGTGCTGGGAATTAAACCTGGGACCTCATGTGCCAGGCATGCGCTTCTCACGGCACAGTAGTTATCCACCTTGACTGTGTTTAAGTGTGCAATCAGATGGCAAAGAGCAAAGCACATTCTTGCTGTTGCTCACTTATAATCCTCTTGTATCTGTAGAACCTTTTCATGTTCCACAGTTGAGTTGATTGGGACTGAGTGGATTCACAGAATCCATTCAATGTAACTCTCCACTCGCCCATACCCTGCTCTACATAACACCTGGTGCTGCTTTCTGTCAGGGTCATTTATTTCACTCAGCATAATGTAATCAAGGTCATTTATGTTTGTCATGCATCAGAACATCATTTTTTTGTTTTAGTTTGTTTGTTTCTTGAGACAGGGTTTCTCTGCATAGCCCTGGCTGTCTTGGAACCAGCACTTAGAGTAGGCCATCTTTTTTTTTTTTTTTAAAGGCCAAATGGATACATTATACTCAGATCCCTTTTTAAAAAAACAAAGCAGCTGCAGGAACTGAATTGTTTCCATTTTGTTGCTGATATGTTGTTTTGCTGCAACACTGGCGTTCTTCTGCGTTCTGTTTTCACAGGAAAGTCTCCAAACCCGCTCCATGCTAAAGAGGAGGGATTGTGTACTGGTGTGAATACCAGGAGGTGGGGGCCCTTGACATGCTTCTCAGATTTACCATAATAATCATCCTCTGTGTGGTTAAGCCAACAACTGGCTATACTCACTTTGAAACACAATAACTTATAAGATGTAATGTTATTTTACAGTCATCTATAATAGTTTC